ATTGGTATGCTAAATATGTTGACTAAGAGCAAGAACTTCCCATTAACTAGGTACATGTTAACTGCCATGATCCGCTGCTAGTCAGAATAACATTCCCCAACTTAAGGAGAGCAACACAAAAATTTTAGGAAATATGCCTTTTTCACATGAGTGGTTGTGACGGAGCCATGATATTCTTTCTTTTTCTTTTTTTCAAAGATTTTATTTATTTACTTGAGAGAGAGAGAGAGAGCATGACCGGAGGGGAGGGGCAGAGGCAGAAACAGACTCCCCACTGAGCAGGGGGTCCAATGCGGGGCTTGATACCAGGACCTCAGGATCATGACCTGAAATGAAGGCAGACGCTTAACCGATTGAGCCACCCAGGTGCCCCAGAGCCATGATATTCTTAAAATATAGGTTTCTCTTTGTTATTTTATTCTTAGCAAATTGCATTTCTCTACTGCATCATCAACCATCACTGACTTATCCAAAATAACTTTCATGGTTCCTTATGGAAAAAAGAGAATAAAACCTATCATAAGCAAGTGATTGGTATATTTTCTTTTGTATTTACGTATTACCCAATTACATTAAAACACATTTCTGTTTACCTTCTAACCACTTTTTCTCTCAATTACATTTTTCCAATGCTCTGTAGGAATAAATATAAAAGATTTTATTCCTTTTTTTCTGTAAAAGAACTGTAACTCCTTTATTGTATTTAGAAATCTAGTAAACTTCTAATTACATAAAATAATTAACGGAAACATTGGGAATAATTCTTTTTGCCATTATTTATAGATGTAAAGTTTCCTGGGACACACTATATGTTAGGTATAATTTTATATTATATATTAGTTTCTTTCCTTTGAGGCCCAGGATATCATTATTGTCCTTTAGAGGCGGCATTTTCTTTGCTATCAGAAGCCCACAGCTAGACCTGGGCACTAACACACCAGGGAGACTTAGTCTAATCTGGGGTTGAAATAATTGGAAGCTGTGCTTCAGTCCTCCTGAAGGCCAGTTAGTCTTTTTTTTTTTTTTAAGATTTTTATTTATTTATTTGTCAAAGAGAGAACAGGCAGTGGGGAGTGGCAGAGGGAGTGAGAGAAACAGATTCCCCACTGAACAGGGAGCCCAATGTGGGGCTTGATCCCAGGACCCTGAGATCATGACCTGAACCAAAGGTAGACGCTTAACCCGCTGAGTCACCCAGGAATCCTGCTAGCTCTTTCTTTTTACTTCATTCCTAGCGTTGTCTTTTGGTGACCCCATCCAAAGCCTGGGGACTTTATCAAAGCTCCCCTCCCATAAAGTTGGCATGCCCCAAATTTCCATTTTTGTTCCCCACGGCTTATGAATCATCATAAGCTCTGCATGGCTCTTATCATCTCAGGCACCTATTTCAGAATTGGCAGATAATTTCATATATGATGCTTCTTCTACGTGGAACACTGGATAGTTCTCTCACGCCCCTCCCTGACTCCTGGCTCACTCCTCCTTCTACCCTTATGGCTTAGCCTAAATGTAACTCCTGAGAAACTTTCCTTGGCTGCCATAGCAGTACCCCTCCCTTGTGCCACCATAGTATCCTGCCTTCCCTTGTCATGAATACTTAAGTCATTCAAAAATAATTGCTTTGTGGGACGCCTGGGTGGCTCAGTTGGTTGGACAACTGCCTTCGGCCCAGGTCATGATCCCGGAGTCCCAGGATCGAGTCCCGCATCAGGCTCCCAGCTCCACGGGGAGTCTGCTTCTCTCTCTGCCCTTCTCCTCACTCATGCTCTCTCTCACTGTCTCTCTCTCAAATAAATAAATAAAATCTTTAAAAAATAATAATAATAATTGCTTTGTAAAGAGATTAATGACCACAAAAAAAACCAAAATTGCTTTATCTCCTTTTACCAGACTCTACAGTTTGTGATATCAGAAACAGTATCTTCCTGTATATCCCTTTGGTCCTATCACCTACAACAGTGCCTAGAACACAATAAGAATGCAAATATTTGTTCATGAATAGATTGGTATTTCTCTATGCTTAGGTGGCCTTCCATTTCCTGCAGAAAAAATTCCCACTTCCTATGCATGGTATATACAATTTTTTGTGACGTGAGACATGGGTCTCTCACCACCCCAAACTCTAAATATGCTTTGCTGTTTAACATCTCCGTATCTTCAGTGTCCTCTGTCCTCTGTCTGTGTGTCTTTTCCCGTGGGGTCTGGAAAACTCATGCTGTCTGTGTCTTCTCTTGTGGTCTGGAAAATTCTTGGCTTCTCTTTTAATAGTTTAAGTTTCTCCTCCTATTCGAAGTCCCTTTGGGCTGATTCTTGTTCTTTTTCTGATACATTTACTTCCTTCTTTATCTGTGTATCTTACAGCATTCATCATGGGCTAAGATTGTTTGTTTATATACCTAATACACCATCAAATTATAAGTTACTTACAGGTGGAAGCTCTCTTTTAATCTCTATAGCCCAGATCTGATCACAGTTTGTAGTTAACAATATTTTTTAAAAAACAGGTATAATAGTTATTATCACTCTTTAAAAAAATTATTATCACTTCTTCTTGAATAGCCTTTGAAATACATTTTCAAAAATATGTTTGCAACAGTTCTGTGAGTTAGATATTAGTTCCTAATTCCTAGAGTTTAGAAAAGCTCAATAACCTGTCTAATGTCATATAGCTAGTAACTGGTGGAAGCAGAATTTGAACCCATATAATCTGATTGCAGAGTCCAAGCCATACTGGCTGGAGAGGCAGGGGGAGAGGAGGGAGAAGGAGGGGGGAATATGGCATGATATCAGGAGGGGCAAAAGTGGTTCTGTGTGTGGCCAGGCATAGATTCATGGATGGGAGTGGTGGAAATTGAGAACCGAGGAGCTGGTTCAGGTTAAATTATTAATACCTAAGTGTATCATGATAAGGAGTTTCGATTATTTCCTGTAGCTAATGGGTTCATTTTAGATTTAAGCTTAGGAATTCCAGAACTACAATTTAACATATACAGATCGCCAGGGCGACCTGTACATGTTAAATGTACAGGGTATCTGTATAAATACACTGGCTGTGTATACAGCAGGTGCTGGCAAACAGGGCATTGAGCAGCTTTCTGTGGTAGTGCTCAAATTATAGCGGGCGGTGGACTTCTGGATCAATGATCCTGAGGAAAGGCCATTTTTGCTTCCATTTTCATCATCGCAGTCCATCTTACAGCTATGGAAGAAGTTACTAGTATAGCCACGGGGTAATCCATTTACAGAAGAAATGTGTGCCTGCTTATCCTAGTAGCATTTGGATTTGGTCTTTATCCTCAATCCGATATTGTATATTTATACAAAAATCTTTATGACTGTATATATACTTTAAATTACTTTTGTGTGATTGAAAAATATTACAATTCACAGTATGAAATGTTCACTATCTGGAAATTTGGAAAATTATTTCTCTGTGTACTTCTTCCCCCCATATATACAACATATACATTTTTCTAGGCTTCATAGCTCTAATGTTTATGTGTAATGATTGAATAATTCAGTTGATAGTCCTTATGGTAAATACCGTATAGCTATTTGGAATGACTATTAATCAAAAGTGGTATGCACTCAGAAACATCTCACATGTATGATATAGAACAGTAACTCACCTCTTTCTATTAATTTATTTTTGATGCACATTAATGTATTATGTAGTTGTTTTTAGTGTCCCTTGCTGTAGTTCTCTGACATTAGGAGATAGCACTACACAAATCTAATTTTATTATAGCCCTAGAAGTCCTAATATTTGATAACCCTTCCCTCTCCTCCCCCAAATGCCCCATCTATGTTCTCCCTGTTTCCCTCTCTCTCCCTCTCTCTCTACCCGCCCCCCAATCCCTTCCTTCCTCTAGCTCTCCCTTCCTCATGCAGGCTACATATTCATACACAAACACATTGTTGGTGAAAAGTTCTCATTCTACTGAGTAAATACTTTTTTTTTTTTTTGAGAGAGAGAGAGAGAGAGAACAAGCAAGTATGTACACATGCGAGTGGGGAGTGGAGGGGCAAAGGGCGAGTTAGAGAGAGAATCTCAAGCAGACTCTGCTCTCAGTGTGGAGTCAGATGTGGGGCTCAAACTCTTGACCCTGAGATCAAAATGAAGAATTGGATGCTTAACTGACTGAGCCACCCAGGCGCCCCTGGGCAAATAAGAATCTTGATCTTACTAAGCTTTCTGTAGCAACGTACACCACTCTGGCTGCACTTGACTCTTCCTCTCCTATCTTTTCCCCATTTCTCATTCAAGGTTATCCTTGAGTTTTATTATTCACTTAGATTCCTACTGTGAAAATTTTGATTATGGGTCCTATATCCTCACTTATTACCCATTTTCTATGAGATCTAGAGAAATCACTGGATCCTCATGGTAATGCTAATAAACTTTTCTTGTTTTTCTTTTCTGTTATGGGATAATCAGAACTGGTAAGGACTTGATATTGATTCATGAAAGTTCCTTAATCTTACCAAGACTAGACTATTGGCAACTATGATAATAACTAGCCTATAGTGAGTGAGTGCCATGTGCCAGGAATTGTGCTAAGTATTTTGCACACATGGTTGGTAATCACCGCATTAACAGCAAGTTAAGTCGACCACATTCTATAGATGAGAAAACAGGCTGAGAAAAGAGATTCATTAATATACTTGAGATCACACAGCTAGTAAGCGACAGAAACTGAATTTAACTTCAAATTTGTCTAACTAAATTCCACACCTCTTTCACTACATAAAATTTCTTTCAGTCAGCAACTGATATAAATATCTGGAGAGACATGTATCTACACAGGGGCAGCAAAAACTGAAAAGAAGAAGCCGCATTATTGGATTTCTATTTTCAAATAATTTATACTATGAAAATTTGAAGCAGAATTATAGAAGTTTGTTAGAATTCTAAATCTAATTTGTGAATTTTTCTAGAGGAAAATTGGTAGTCTTGTCTTCAATGCAGTAGTCACCAAGAATGGATTTTCTGTTTCTAGTTTTAAGACGAAATTGGCTGCAGCTTTGGCAAGATGCCGAATCAAACATGATGCTCTTTCAATATACCACATTCTTCCAGAAACTGTTAGGAACCAGGAACTAAGGGCCTCTACTTTGCCACTTTATGCTTGGATAAATACTTGTAAAATCAGGTAAGAGTTTTAATCAAATTGTTTATTCACATTTCAGTTTGCTAGCCTTTCAAAATAATGTGATAAGAAATATTATCTTTTTAATGGGTGGGTAGGGCACATCTAGGGGAGTGATGGGGAACTGTAGTTAGTTCACAATCTTATCACCAAATTACCAAAGGTAATTACATAAATATGTTAATTTTTCTGTCTTTAATTATCGTTTAACTTATCATTGGCTGAAATTGTAAGTTCCATTAAATGCAATATATGCAGTGATATTTATATTTATTTTAGGAAAAAGTGCTAGTGTTAAATGCATTTTTAATATATTTTTAATTACAACTTAATATTGCATATTTACAGTCCTGAAGACGTTTATTATAGTTTGAAGAAAAAAGGCTATAACAAAGTCAACTCTGTATTGCATATTGATGAGAAAGTCTTTGCTGTGGACCAACATTGCTATGATGTCTTAATTTTTCCATCTCATCTCAAAAATGATCTTCTAAATACAGATCTTTTCAAAGATTATAAACTTATATTTCAGGTAAATATTTACTTTCATTGTGGTTCTCAATAATCCTACTTACTCAAAGAATCCACTTAAAAATAAAACCTAACATTGGGAGAAGGAGAGAAGTGAGTTGGGGGAAATTGGAAGGGGGACAAACCATGAGAGATTGTGAACACTGAGAAACAAACTGAGGGTTTTGGGGGGCGTGGAGGGTCAGGTGAGCCTGGTGGTGGGTATTAAGGAGGGCATATATTGCATGGAGCACTGGGTGTGGTGCATAAACAATGAAACTTGGAACACTGCAAAAATAAAATTAAAAAAAAATAAAAATAAAACTCAACAAACTGATTATATTTTTATAGATTATCAAGAAGATTTATAAACCTAATTCTTGGCTATTTTATTGAATAAAATTAGTACCCTTACAAACAGTGTTCCTATGTACTTCAGCATCTTTGTCCCATGCGCAGTTATAAAGAACATGTTCTCCTTCGCAGACTCTATAGATGGGGATACTTGTACTGCTGGAAGCTGAAAGGCTGTATTTTTCTCTTCCAGTGGAGCATTGAAAAAAAAAAAAGTGCAATGGTACCTTTTCTACCTTCCGTTTCTGGGAAAGATGCTAGTACCATCCTGAATTTGAAAATGCAACATGTAATACTTTCCCATTACCTCCTTAATATGGCCTTACAGCATTGATTTTTAAGAGGTGTATAATGACTAACAATACAGGAAGAGAATGTGAGGTATAATGGTGTTTCAGTAGAATGAAAAATAAATGGTCCAATAAATTAGGTTTTATTAATTTTTATGTCCTTAGATTCCAACTCTTGCCTCAGATTTACCTTTGTCCTCTAAGGTTTATTCTTTCACAGCACTCATATTCTTGGGTAGAATCTCTTGGCCTTATCTTATAGTCATACCGTATTGAGCCCTGAGATCAAGTGCAGAAACCCATTTGTCTAGACCCCTTTTATAAGCTTGTCAACCATCTAACTTTTAATATCTATGAGTTAGCAGTGATTTAAATGACAGTGTAATGGGAAGAAATAATGGCAGTAACTGATGATTGAGTTTTTCATGAAGGGGTAAGAATGGATGCTATAGGGACGCCTGGGTGGCTCAGTTGGTTAAGCAGCTGCCTTCGGCTCAGGTCATGATCTCGGCGTCCTGGGATCGAGTCCCGCATTGGGCTCCTTGCTCTGCAGGGAGCCTGCTTCTCCCTCTGCCTCTGCCTGCCATTCTGTCTGCCTGTGCTTGCTCTCTCTCCCTCTCTCTCTGACAAATAAATAAAAAATCTTTAAAAAAAAAAAAAAAGAATGGATGCTATAGTAGGACATCACTAACGTATTAATCACATTTTGGGGATTTTTGACAGTGTCTTAACACTATATGAAAGTGAAATGATAACATTCATAATTTAGGTTAAGCAAAGTTAAGGTCTTTGTTTCCATCAGTTATTTTTGTTAATTTTGTCTTCTAACATATATTAAGATGTTTTAAATCCAAATGGATTAGGTATCTCAGGAGTTCTACCCAGTACCTTTTTTTTTTTTATTTAAGCAAAAAAAAGTCAGTTCATGCTTCTAGTCAAACCATTTAAAATTGTAATCATGTTATTATCTTGTAGGACAAATCTCGAAGTCTCGCTGTCCATTCTGTAAAGGCTTTATTAAATATGGATGATGATATCTTAATGGTTAATACAGGTTCATGGTACACAGTTGCCCATATGTCAGTCTTAACAAATAATAATACCTCAAAAATATTTGTGTGTGGAGTAAAATCACAAGCTAAGGATCCTGACCTGAAGAACCTTTTTACAAAAATGGGATGTAAAAGTATGTATAAATATTTATTTTTTTGGTGATTAAGGTTCTGCAAAATTTTGAAATGTCAAAAATGTTTGAATTTGTTATTTTTTGTATTACAAAAACTCTGTATATACTATGTTCTTCAAATATTCCCTAGTTCATATTACACCAAGCACTTCTCATTATTTAACATTGATTATACGACTGTAGTTTAAATTAATGAATATATTGGCACTTGGTATATTGCTTGGCATTAGCTACTGTATAATTTGAAATTAAACAATAATTAGCTAAAGAAGGTAGTAGAAATTACCATCCTTTAATAAATAAGAACACATCTAAAGGAGTGCTTGACAGTGTTAATATCTAGGACTAGAGGCTACGTCCCTTAGGCTTCTTATTTTCAAAATCTTCTTCATTGGCTCATGCTGTGACTAAAGATAACATTTTATTAAGAGATTCGTTGAGGCTGAAAAACTAAGCAAAACTTTTGACAGGTTCATAGGGAGACAAAAAGTAGAATTCAGAACTTGACCTGGAGAGGTAGACAGGTAAATACCTAGGGTTTCACTTGGAGAGAGAAGTATGCTGGATAGTGATCAGTTGTCTAACAAACTGAAGCCAAATTCCAGTCATCTCATTCCCATTTGGATTAAGGTGATCTGGGATTATTACTGCCCAGATTTAACTGCCTATCAGAAGCAAAAGTAAATTCTCTGGAAGAAAATAACATCATCCTAAATTTCATATTATCTCCTAAATTTTTTCAAATACAATGTCTGGCACTCAATTTAAAAACAACAACAACAACAAAAGGCGAACAAGAAGAAAAAATAAGACTGATATAAAGAGAAAAATGCTACAATAGGAGCAAACCCACGGATGGTCCAGATACTGGAGATATCAGATGTGGACTTTAAAATAACGATGATTAGTATGCTGAAGAGACGAAATGTCAAGTTGTAGAATTTCTGTAGAGAACTGGAAACTATAATTCTTTTAAATCAAAAGAAAATTCTAGAACTAAAAAATACAACATGTGAAATTAAGAAGTAAAAAATTTAACAGTAGGTTAGACAGAGCTAAAGAAAGAATAAGTTAGCCACAAGAAAATATCCAGACTGAAGCAAAGGGAGACAAAAGGATTAGTAATATGGAAAAGATCATAAAACAAACATGAGACTCAATGATCCAGTACTCTTCCACATGCTGTGATTCAGAACACAGAAAGAGAAGAGAAAAATAATTGAGAAGAAACAATATTTGAAATTAAGGCTGGGAATTTTTCAAAAATAGGTGAAATAAATTAAGCACCATAGATTCAAGAAGCTCTATGAACTCCAGTAAGAATAAATATATAGAAAAATATTAGGTACATTATGGCATAACTGCTGAAAACCAAAGACAAAGCAGCCTAGGTGGTAATATAGATTACCTTTAATGGAACAGCAACAAAACTAAAAACTAACTTTTCAACAGAAATAACTGAAACCAAAAAACTATTAATATCTGCATAGTGTAGAAAGAAACTACCAAGGAGATTTCTAAACTCAGCAGAAATTTCCTTTGAAAAAAGATATTCTTAGAGAAATGAAATCTGAGTTTGTCAACAGCAGACACAATGGAGGATATACTAAGGAATATTTTTTGAGTAGAAGGAATATTTTCTTATACAGAAAGTTGTAGATGCTGGAATAAATGAAAAACAATGGAAAAGGTAAGTAAACTAATTATAATCTAATGTTTTGTGGGATTATAAACTAAGGTGGCATTAAAATATGTTATAAATAATTAAATTACAACAATGGTACATAACTTAGAGAGAAGGAAATGGAATTAATGCTTTATATCATCTTTGTTTTGTCCAAGAAATGGTAAATGTAGTAAACTATTATGTAGTGGCATGTGTTATAATTGGGGTAGTGAATAAACAAATTATAAAAGAACGTTTAACTAATATCTAGGAGGGGGTGGAAAATAGAATATGGAGTTGGAATACCATATTACCATAGAAAAGGTAAGACAAATAGAAAGCAAGTAGGTAGATTAAGCTTTAAAAAATATATATGTAAACACATTACATATGCATGACTAATACTTGAAGTAAAAGACAAAGAATGCCAATATTAGATTTTAAAGATCAACTATATGCTATTTATAAGAGAGACCCTTACATAAAAGGATATAAAAAAAAACTTGGAAGCACAGAAAAAGATATACATTATATATGCTAACAAAAGAGCTATTGACAAAGTAGATTTAAGTCAAGAAACATTACTAGAAATATAACATGTTCATCAGGAAAATGAAACAGTATGAAAGAAGTATGTACTTAATAATATAATCTCAAATATAACTAAACTATAGATTTCACAGATGATTGTTGCAAGGCTGCTAGATACAAGATGATATACAAACCAATTTCTGCATACCAATATCAAAAGTTTGAAAATGAGGCAGATACCTTTTACAATAGTATCCAAAACCATACCCATTTAGAAGTACTTCTCATAAAAGGCGTGTAAGACCTCCTCGTAGAACTATGGACCATTACTGAAAGACAGAAGACCTAAGTAAAAAAAAAAAAAAAGATCATGTTTATGAACTGAAAGACTCAATGTCATTGAGATGAACTTTCTAAGTTGATCTGTATGGGTTCAGTTCAATCCACATGACACTGCAGAGTACTGAGATGTTTTTTTCAGTAAATGGTGCTAGAAAAAGTGAAACCCATCCATACTTTACACACCATCAACACAAATCGAGAATCTCCTAGAATTTATTATAGGAAAAACACTTAATGACTGTGATTGGTAGAGATTTCTTAAACAGAACACACAAAGCACTAACCATAAAGGAAAAGATTGATAAGCCGGACTATAGTAAACTTTTAAAAAATTTAAAACTTCTGTACATGAATAGAGTGCAAATGCGAACTGTAGAGAGGGAGTATATAAACTGGTGAAGTTTCATCCACAGGGTATAAAGAGTTCTTACAAATTAACAATAAAAAGACAGCCCAATTGGAAAATGTGCAAGAGACATGACCAGTCATTTCACAAAACAGGATGTCCAGATGCCAAAAAAACTTAGGTAAAAGTAGTCAATCTGATTACTAACGAGGGAAATGCAATTAAAATCACCACATGTCCACAGAATGATTAAAATTTAAAAGATTGGGAGGGTGCTTGGATGGCTCAGTTGGTTAAGCATCTGACTCTTGATCTCAGCTCAGGTCTTGACCTCAGGGTAGTGAGTTAAAGCCCTGTGTTGGGCTCTACACTGAGCATGGAGCCTACTTTAAAAAAAAAAAAAAGACTGTCAGTACCAGGTACTGGCAAGGTAAAGAGTATTGGTAATACTCAAATACAGCTGGTGGGATTGTAAACTTGTACAAACACTCTAGAAAACTAGCATTAATCACTAAAACTTGAATAAGTACATACTGTGACCCAGCATTTTACTTCCAATCGCCCACCTGAATTTTTACCTAGTTAACAAGAGAGAGTAGGAACCATTAGGTAACCACGCAGTAGAGGAAAGGAAGTTTCTCCTTTTAGAAGTCTTCCAACTAATAAGTGAAAAAAGGATGACAGACCGAACTGTGACTATTTTGCAACCCCTTTGCTAGTGCTGAAAAGACGACTTAATGGATGAATATTATGTGACTTGTGAAGTAGTTTTTTCCCCTTTCTATCCTCCCCCCCAAAAAGGGAAGAAAGAAAGAAAGAAAAAACTGAATCTAATTAAGCTTCTAGAGATCCAGCTACTAAGTCATAGGAAGCACAGAAGACAGGAACATGTTAAAAGTACACTCTAGGGAAGCAATTAGCGAAATCCAGACTGTGGAAAGCTCTTCGTAGTACAAATAACCATGTTTCATTAGGAAATAAATTGTAAGAAAAAACGGAAAGGGAACCTATCAAAAAGAAATTTAAAATAAGGCCTAGCAGTTAATTGTGATGTATGCATCTTATTAAAATCCAGATTCAAACAAACTGTAAAAAATTTTTGACATGTGTGAGACTATTGGGAAATTTAACGTATAATTGGATGGTTTTATTATTCAATGATAATAAGGAATTATTATTTTTTAATCTGTGTGGTTGTATTTTTAAAGGAGCTCTTATCTTTTAGAGATAGATGGTGAAATATTTATAGATTCAAATCATGTGGGTGGGTGGAAGTGGGTAGAGATCTAGATGAGACAGAAATGGGCAGGAATGGTTCACTGTCGCATCTCCATGGTGCGTACTTGAGACTTTATTACAGTTTTTTGTCTGTTTTTATATATGTTTGAATTTTTCTGACAGAAAGTTAAAAACGGGAGAAAAGGAAAAGGTCCACTGATTAGAAAAACAACAACAATTTCAAAACAGACAGAATAGGAAGACAAACACGGTGATCAGACAAGAGAAAGGGGGTGGGTGAGCAGGTTCAGGGGGACTCCTCAGCAGGTGAGGGGAGTGGGAGCCACTGCAGAAGTGGAGGGGTGGCCTGAAGATAGGGGCACAGACCACTATACTCTGAGGGAGGGCAGACTTTCTTAAACTTAATTACCAAGTCCTTAAGGGACTTTAGACTCCCTCATAAATGCTACTGACATTCATTTTTCACTGGGGAAGATAACATAAATGGAGATTACAAATGGCAAAGGGAAATAACCAATACTGAGCATTTACTATGTACCAGGCCCATACTAAATTGCTTTATCTCAGTCTTCACCACACCTAGATGAAGCAGGCATTATTATCCCATTTTATGAATATAAGGAAATGGAGATTCAGAGAGATTAAGTCACAAAGCTAGTAAACAGTGGAGTTGGGAGTCACACTTGGGTATTTCTGCCCCCAAATCCCATTTCCCTCCACTACATCACACTATTTTGAAAGAGCCTGGAGTTCACGATGAAAAATGAAACGACATTTTATGTAGAAGTATTTAAATCTCAAAATTGTTCCCTCAAGTGAAGGAGAAAGAGAATTCATGTTTTAACTTTAGGAAGTTATCAGAGAACAATAGCTCTCTTTTCTGACTATGTTAAGATGATTTTTTTGTGATGTTGAGGATTTAAAAATGAACAATAATCAATCTAGTTACATACTGTATTAAGATTTTTAATTAATGTTTTTACATTAATTTTTTGTTTTTTCCTCCAAGATATTGAAATACTTCATGAGAGATTTCTTAACATTGAATCAAAGGATCATAGATTACAGAAAGTTAAAGTGATTCTGCTGCTACCTCGTTGTTCAGGATTGGGTGTTAGTAATCCAGTGGAATTTATACTAAATGAACATGAAGGTACTTTAAAATTTTTTAATTTATTAATTATTGAAACTTGTTGATAATTTCAAAAATAAAGTTATTTAAAATCATTAAAAGGACACATTAAATATATCTGATTAATGAATAGCTATCATGTATAGAGCACTTACAATGTATAAAGTACTTTACAGGTCACCTAAGTAGATCAGTCGGTTAAGTGGCTGATTTTTTATTTCGGCTCAGGTCATGATCTCAGGGTCCTGGGATGGAGCCCCACGTTGGGCTCTGCACTAGGGGTGTAGTCTGCTTCTTTCCCTCTCTCTTTCCCTCTGCTCCTCCCCCTGCTTGCACTCACTCTCTCAACTAAATAAATAAATAAAATATTTTTTAAAATACAGTACTTTACATTAATTGTCTCAGTTAATCTTTATAGTAATCCTTTGTGATATGCACAAGGGGAATATTAAAAATTTCTAATAATTGGAATGATGTAGGCCATCAGAACAGATGTTGGCCACTATGCTATTCTGGTATATACCAGAACTCAAGATATAGGCATTAAAATTTATCAGCATTTTAGATGAAAAAACTGAGACTCATAAAGCTTAATTCATTTGTATAAGGTCACACAGGTTCTAGTTAGTAACAGAGCTAGAATTCAAATGTAGATCAGCCAGACCCTACAGACTGTTCTAAAATGGTCCTAATTAAATCATTATCACATTATTTCAAACTCAAGACTTCTTTAACCCCCAGTATGTATGTTTTATGATATGAATACCTCAGATTAAATATTCTAGGAATATTTTATTTGCTTATTTAATAAATCATAAAATATTATTTAACACTGCCATTTATTGAGCACTTGTATATAAGACAGTGAACCAAGCATTTTGTTTTGACTATTTTATCAAGTCCTCACAAGAGCTCTGTGAATCATTTACATTAGTCCCCCATTATCTATGAAAATTCATTCCAAGACCCCCAGTGGATCCCTAAAACCATGTGCAGTACGGAACCCTATATGTAGTGTGTTTTTCCCTATATCTTTGCACCAATGATAAAGTTCAATTTATAAATCGGGCACAGTAAGAGATGAATAATTATAAAATGGAGGAAGTATAACAATATTTTGAAATAAAAGTCACAGAAATGTGGTTTCTCTTTCAAAATATCTTCTTGTACTGTACTCACCCTTCTTGGGATGATGAGCGATGCCAAAATGTCCATGTGTCGAGACGAAGCGAGCTGAGTTACGTAAGCACCGTGATGTAGCGTTGGGTTACTATTGACCTTCTGTAGATTGGGAGAAAAAGGATCTTCTGCTTCCGGGACCGAGGCTGGCCTTCAGTAACTGAAACTGCGGAAAGGAAAACCACAGATACTGAACTCTGGTTTTCTACATTTTACCAGTCCGGACTCTGAGGCTCACAGGTTGAAGCCTCCCGGAGCCGTTCAACTAGTGTCAGAGCCCAGATCCGAACACAACAGCTCTGATTCCGAGGCTGACGCTGCGAGTCACTTTTTTAATCCGAGTGTATTTGCTGTGCATTAACTGAAATGGATCCTTACTCTAATCCGTTCACCTTGAAAGCCCTGGTTAGATAAGATTACCTGGAATGTTAGATAACGAAGACGTTTCACCAACATTCAGTGTAGAGTGAGCACCTATTTTCTGTTTCTCCAAGGACAGAATCAAAAATGAGAAAACTGCAGGGACAGAAACTAGTATTTATTGCACACAACTATGTGCCAGTCAATATTCTAGGTGGTACGCATGCGCTATCACTTAATATCTACAATCACTTTTTGAGGATAGTGTTGTTTGATTATCTCTATTGTGTGTGTGTGGGGGGGGGGGACAAGACTCAGAGAAATCTCACAAGTTGCCTAAGGTCACGTAGCTAGTCAACAGAGAAGCTGGGGTTAAATTCAGGTGAGTTAGCGCATTCCGCGATACTGCACCATGTGTAACTGGGCTTACACTGTTGCGCAAGGAATTTTGACATGTTACGGAAACTTTCTTCCCAGCAACAGTAAAACAGAATAACCAACTCAGATGGGAGAATGGTGACCTGAGACTCTCCCTACATTAACTGGGAAATAAATAACAATTAGTGGACACTGGGGAAGGAGGGGAAGAAACAGCTGTACCTATAATAAACCTCGCGGTCAAGAGATCTAGAGCTTCCAACTGAGAGACTCTGGCCTTACACTGGGCCCTCTTGAAGTGGGAATGCCGGGGGAGGGGTTGGGGGGGGGGGGGGACACTAACCATAGGTAAAAAGAAACTAAAGGCTGGTTGGAGCCGGGAGGGTGGGCTGGGAAAGCCCAAAGGGACCACCAGTGATGGAAAGGCAGAAAGTGAAAAAAGTTTCCTAAGTTTTAGCAACCTTGTGAAAACTTTGATCAAGAGACAACAGGATAAGCCAAGAAGCTGCCTTCCACAAACCTGGGGGAAAAGGAGGGTTTCCTCTGAGGAGGTAATAAAGAGCTGCTGACCTAGTGCCCAAGGTATAAATATTAGTAATAAAACTAGTGAGGATGAACCCAAAAGACTTAGATATGAGGTACAAGGGAGAAATCGTGTATTAGTTTGAAAGACATTTTAACATTGAAAAATATTTGAACCAATGAGGAGTATATGAAATTGCTCTTTGCTAACAACTTGGAATTTCATTAAAATGGGGTGAAAGAGGTAAATTGATATGGTTTTATAGTACAATAATGTGTAAATGGTCCTCTAAGAAGTGGTGAATAGAGATAGAAAAATGTGAAGTGTAAAGCTAAATTGGGAAGAAATGGAGTTTAATTAACCTTTAGCGATAGTGCTGGAAAGGAGAACAGCCAATTATGGCAGAAATAATTGATTCTCACTCCAGGGAGCTACTGAGAGGCAGAATAAACAGAAGTTAGAGGTTTGGACTCCCTGGTCAGATTTCTGAGCCAGAATCATGGTTCTACACCTAGTAGTTATGTGACCTTAGATAAGTGGTTTAATATATGTTTGAACAGTTTTCTTCATGTTTAAAGGGGTAGTAAAGGGGGTAGTAGGGGCCCCTGGGTGACTCAGTCCATGAAGGGAATCTGCTTCTCCCTCTCCCTCTGGCCCTCCCCCCCACCACCCTAGCTCGTGCTCATGCCCTCTCGCTCTCACTCTCTTTCAAATAAATAAGTAAAAAGCATTTTTAAAAAGGGGGGTTGATAAAATAGTGTATATAAAACAGTATTCAATATATCTTAGTTAATATCAAGGAACTCAGTTTAAAAAATTTCCTAAAGTTTTCTTTAAGAGTTTCTTGACTTCTTTCTTAATCTATGAAGACATATATTCACTTCTCTTAATTTTTTTCTTCCAAAATTTCTTTGCTAAGTTAATGTTGTTAACTGTATCCTTTTGTGTCTTTTCCTACTCAAATCTAACTATAGCTCATCACCTTTCTGCCTTGGAAATAAATCTCTTTTCTTTTCCTCTGTTAGTTTCCAGAATTACAGCATTCTCTCTTCTGTACCTAAATGACTTTGTTGGCTAGTAGGATTACTGTCTCATAAGAACTTGGAGAAGAAAAACAATATTAAAACTAAGCAAAATTACCTTTATTTAGCTTTTTAATTTTAACTCAGCATGTTTATAATACTATTTATGTGGTTTTAATAAATATTTTCCATGAAAACTCTAATAGGAAAAATGATTTAAAAATTAAACTATGTGAGTATAGCAATATATGAACAACACCCAATAGAGATGTATTTTAAAGGATTTATTTGCTTTTAGATACAGGTTTACTTAAAGATTTCTCTCAAGGAGGCACATCAGAAGATAAACTTCACATTCTTGCTCAACAGCAATACGAACAGCTCATACATGCAATGAAATGTAAGTTCATCATCAGTGCAATCTTAAAATATGTTGTAAATCTTAGAAACATTAATACTTCATTTATCTATTACAGTTGGACAATAAGTTGTGAATCATACGTGAATTTTCCAAAATTAGTGCCTTCTAATACCAGAATATTTATTTTTACCCAATTCAGTCGGCCTTTTATTTATTTTTTTTAAGATTTTATTTATTTGACAGAGATCACAAGTAGGCAGAGAGGCAGGCAGAAACAGAGAGAGGGGGAAGCAGGCTCCCCAACTGAGCAGAGAGCCCGATGCAGGGCTCAATCCCAGGACTCTGGGACCATGACCTGAGCTGAAGGCAGAGGCTTTAACCCACTGAGCCACCCAGACACCCCTCAGTCTGCCTTTTAAAAATAGATTCTGGGGACACCTGGGTGGCTCAGTTGGTTAAGCAGCTGCCTTCGGCTTAGGTCATGATCCCAGCGTCCTGGGATGGAGTCCCACATCGGGCTCCTTGCTCAGCAGGGAGCCTGCTTCTCCCTCTGCCTCTGCCTGTGCTCATTCTCTCTGACAAATAAATAAAATCTTAAAAAAAAATAAATAAAAAATAAATAAATAAAAATAGGTTCTGTGCTATCATTTGTAGCATAGGTTAGCAAGCATAATAAACAATTTCTTCATGCTGCAGTAAAATAATTACATACATCCATTATGGAACCATTTTGTTTCCTTTGGCTTCTTACTTGATGTGATTTTTCTGTTGTCATTGTGCCTGCCCATAATAACTATTCTACCATCCAAATTTTAATCAAACTCTTACATCTCTTAATACTAAACAGAGAATAGAGAAATGCAATTACAAACAAAGCCTAGATTTCTTGATTTGAATTCTGAGTAACTAAGCTCTTTAGGTATTTATTTTGTTGTTTCAATCATTCCATTTAGATTTAAGTACCATTTAGGTTTGGAGGAGCATTGCCCTCAAATGGATATGGATATGGGAAATTGAGAAGTCTCTGAGAAATGACATAAACTATTATTAATTCAGGGCATGTTTATCAAGTGTGAACTCTGGGTTAGGCTGGATAATAGGGATATGAGTGTGAATAAATCCGATCTCCAAAGGCTCAAAGATAAATATACAGGTATAGATAATTCAGTACATGAAGGTAGAACATAGATGAGGTAGAAATAAGACACATAGCCCAGAGCAGGTCTGCCCTTTTAGTTGATGCTACTAATAAACATTAATTTGAACCTGAATACATATATATGAATATCTATGAAATAAGTTGGTTGGAAGATTAGAAGGTTGGTAAATAATTTTTTGATGCTTTCTCGAATTACTTTATTTAAAATTACAGTATCATCTCCTGAAACTATCCTCCATCCCTACTTTTTCTCTAAGCACTTATCACCTCCTAAAGATACTATCTGATTTAACTATTTGTGTCTTATCATGTCAATAAAGCATGGGAAAGGAGCTCCCCACGGACAGCGATCTTTGTCTGTGTATCTTGGGTGCCTAGACTAGTGCTTAACATGGAGTAGGTGTTTGATAATGTGTGAATAAATGAGTGAGTGCCAGTAGTAGTAGTATCTCATTTTACAGAAGAAGAATCTGAGAATTTAACTAAATTTGCCAGGTTCATACAGCAGTTAAGCAAAGAATTGGAATCCATACCTAAGTCTGTTTCTAGAGTCCTTTAAACTAGTTCTGTGATATGGCTTGTGGGAGAATGCCAGGAGGATCAAGCTCATGGTGCTGTCAAGTATTGCTTGTCTGTAACTGGCTTGGTCACATTGCTGGAGCGTCCAGTTTCCAGATGGATCGATGAAACCAGCAGCCTGTTCTTTGAAAACAATAAAATCGATAAACCCCTACTCAGACTTATCAAAAAGAAAGAAGAAAGGACCCAAATAAATAAAATCACAAATGAGAGAGGAGAAATAAAAACCAACACCACAGAAATACAATTGTAAGAGAATATTATGAAAAACATTATACCAACATTTTGGACAACCCAGAAGAAATGGATAAATTCCTAGAAACATATAAATTACCAAAACTGAAACAGGAAGAAATAGAAAACTTGAACAGACTGATAACCAGCAAAAAAATGAAATCAGTAATCAAAAACCTCCCAACAGGGGTGCCTAGGTGGCTCAGTTGGTTAAGCATCTGACTCTCGATTTTGACTCAGGTCATGATCTCAGGGTCCTGGGACTGAGCCCTCATCAGGCTCTGTGCTCAGTGGAAAGTCTGCTTAAAAATTCTCCCCTTCTCCCTCTGCCTCCCTACACACACACACACACACACACACACACTCTCTCTCTCTCTCTCTCTCTCAAATAAATAAAAAAGTCTTAAACAAAACAAAAACTCTCCCAGCAAACAAAAGCCCAGGGCCGGATGGCTTCCCAGGAAATTCTTCCAAACATTAAAGAGTTAATACCTATTCTTCTCCAACTATTACAAAAAATAGAAATGGAAAGAAGACTTTCAAACCCATTCTACAAGGCTGTATTACCTTGATTCCAAAACCAGACAAAGGCCCCACAGGCCAATATTCCTGATGAACATGGATGCAAAAATTCTCAATAAAATATTAGCAAGCCAAATCCAACAATACATTAGAAGAATTATTCACGATCAAGTGAGATTTATTACTGGGTTGCAAGTGTGGTTCAACATCAGTAAATCAATCAACATGATATACCACGTTAATAAAAGAAACAATAAGAACCACATGATCCTCTCAATAGATGCAAAAAAAAAGGATTTGACAAAATACAACATGCATTCATGATTAAAAAAACCTCAACAGAGTAGGGATAGAGGGAACATGACCTCAACATAATAAAAGCCATATATATCGAGTCCCACATCGGGCTCCCTGCTCAGCAGGGAGTCTGCTTCTCCTTCTCTCTCTGCCTGCCACACTGTCTGGGCTCTCTCTCTCTCTCTGACAAATAAATAAATTAAATCTTAAAAAAAAAAAGGCCATATATGAAAAACCCACAGCTAATATCATCCTTAATGGGGAAAAAAATGAGAACTTTTCCTCTACGGTCAGTAACAAGACAGGGATGCCCACTCTCACTCCTGTTACTTAACATAGTACTGGAAGTCCTAGCTTAGCATCGGATAACCAAAAAAATAAAAGGCACCAAAATTAGCAAGAAAAACGTCAAACTTTCACTATTTGCAGGTCACATGATACTCTATTTGGATAACACAAAGACTCCACTAAAAAATTACTAGAACCAATAACACAAATTCAGTAAAGTCACAAGATACAAAATCAATGGACAGAGATGTGTTGCATTTCTGTACACCAATAATGAAGCAGCAAAAAGAGAAATCAAGGAATTTATATCATATACAACTGTACCAAAAACCATAAGACACATAGAAATAAACCAACCAAAGAGGTGAAAGACCTATTCTCTGAAAACTGTAAAACACTGGAGAATGAAATTGAAAATGATACAAAGAAGTGGGAAAATATTCCATGTTCATAGATCAGGAGAACAAATATTGTTTAAATGTTATACTATGCAAAGCAATCTACACATTTAATGCAATTCCTATCAAGATACCACCATCATTTTTCATAGAATTAGAACAAATAATCCTAAAATTGTACAGAACCACAAAAGACCCCAAAAAACAAAAGCAATCTTAAAAAAGCAAAGCTGAGGCATCAAAATTCTGGACTTCAAGTTATACTACAAAGCTGTAATGATCAAGACAGTATGGTACTGGCACAAAAACAGACACATAGACCCATGGAACAGCATGGAAAACCCCAAAATGGACCCAGAACTAATCTTCAACAAAGCGGGAAAGAATATCCAATGGGAAAAAGACAGTCTCTCTTCAACAAATGGTGTTGGGAAAACTGGACAGCAACATGCAAAAGAATGAAACTGGACCACTTTCTCATGCCATACACAAAAATAAATTCAAAATGGGTGAAAGACCTACATATGAGATAAGAAACAATCAAAATCCTAGATGAGAACACAGGCAGTAACCTCTTTTACATTAGACATAGCAACTTCTTACTAGATAGGGCCCTTGAGTCAAGGGAAACAAAAGCAAAAATAAACTTTTGGGACTTCATCAAGATAAAAAGCTTCTGCCCAGTGAAGTAACCAATCAATAAAACTAAAAGGCAACCTCTGGAATGGGAGAAGATATTTACAAATATCCAATAAAGGGTTAGTATCCAAAATCTGTAAAGAACTTGTCAAACTCAACACCCCAAACCAAATAATCCAGTTACGAAATGGCAGAAGACATGAATAGACATTTTTCCAAAGAAGATATCCAGATGGCCAACAGACACATGAAAAGATTCTCAACATCAGTCATCAGCAGGGAAATGCAAATCAAAAGTACAATGAGGTATCACCTCACACCTGTCAGAATGGCTAAAATTAACAACACAAAAACAACAGATATTGGCAAGGATGCTGAGAAAGGGGAACCCTCATAACTGTTGGTGGGAATGCAAACTGGTGCAGCCATTCTGGAAGACAGTACAAAGGTTCCTTGAAAAGTCAAAAATAGAACTACCCTATGATCCAGCAATTGTACTACTAGGTATTTACCCAAAGGATAAAAAAATACTGATATGAAGAGACACATGCACACCAGTGTTCATAGTGTTCATAGCAGCATTATCAACAATAGCCAAATTATGGAAAGAGCCCAAATGTCCATTGACTGATGAATGGATAAAGAAGATGGGGTGTGTATATACAATGGAATATTGCTCAGCCACAAAAAGGAATGAAATCTTGCCGTTTGCAACAATGTGGTTGGAGCTAGAGAGTATTATGCTAAGTGAAGCCATTCAAAGAAAGACAAATTCCATATGATTTCACTTATACATAGGATTTAAGACACAGAACAGATGAACATAGGAGAGAAAAAAAGAGGCAAACCAGAAAGTGGACTCTTAACTATAGAGAACAAACTGAGGGTTTCTAGAGGGGGAGGTAAGTGGGGGGATGGATGAAATGGGTGATGGGGATTAAGGAGGGCACTTGTGATGAGCACTGGGTATTGGATGTAAGAGATGAATCACTAATTTCTACACAGAAAACTAATATCACACTGTATGTTAACTAACTAGAATTTAAATTAAAATTTGAAAAAAAAAGAATTTTCAATTTCCACACAATCCAATTAGACTTACTTTACTTCTCGGCCACAGTCTTACATTACTAATCTGTGCTTTAAAGGGGAGTCATGCAAGCATTTATGGAAATCATTCCCATTACAGCCATGTGGTATTAGTATCAAGTAGATGTTTGGAAACATAAATCTGTTTAGAATTGTTAGTGGGGTCATTATTATCATTAATTACACCTCCTTTATAGTTACTAAGGCTCAAGCAGTCGTTTACTGCACATGTTCAGTCTACCCAGAAGAAAACGAAGCTGTCGTGAAGAAAGCACTAGAATTTCAAGACCTTGGGATTAAAGTACAGCCTTACAGGTAAGAAAAGAAAGGATCACTTGGAACTCAATCAGATATTGCCGAGAGTAAATGGTTGTGGTTTTCTAAGTTATATAAAGACATTCCACGTCCTTTTTGTTACACTTTAACATGACCAAATAACCCAACTTCTTACGACTATAACGTAGATTCTGTAGAACCTTTGCAAATGTCTGGGCATGAGTATTCCCTTGTAGTACTAACAGTTCTTTCTGTTGTTATCGTTAGTCAAGCTAAAGGCATTTTGGCTTTGAGGCGGTTGGTTTTTGGATAAATTAGATCTAAATTTTATATCCTGAGTTTTATATACATTTATGCCTCAGTAAAGTATAAGAAAAATAAGTATATAAAATAACCTTAGGAAGGAGAGAGAAAATTATTTAATTGGATGTTTATTATCTGAAAACACATTTCTTAGCCCCTTGTAGCCTTTGTCCCTCAAAAGGACTGAGGTAAAAATAGCCTAAATAATTCAAGTAGCTTCTTGGGTACAATGCTGCAGTAAAATATGGATAGAGGGCAGAACGAGAATATTCCATCTGAACTGTAGATGTCAAAATAAGGAGTGGATCTAAAAAGACATGGCCCCAATTAGTTCTTCAAGACTGTACAGTAGGTATTTTAAAACATCTATTTTTTATTTACTTCTCATGTTCTGAATTTTCCCATAATTCTTTTTTTTTTTAAAGATTTTATTTATTTGTTTGACAGAGATCACAAGTAGGCAGAGAGGCAGGCAGAGAGAGAGAGGAGGAAGCGGGCTCCCCACTGAGCAGAGAGCCCAATGCAGGGCTCAATCCCAGGATCCTGGGATCATGACCTGAGCCGAAGGCAGAGGCTTTAACCCACTGAGCCACCCAGGCGCCCCATGAATTTTCCCATAATTCTTACAGAAGTTCCTTAATATGCATATGGTTTGCTCCCTCCTTTTGACTTGATATTTTTTCCTTTGCCATTCACAAGTGGATATGTTCATTACACTTGTATTTCCCTTCTTCTTACTTGACTTGACTTCCTAATTTAGTAGCTCCTGTTGGTGCCTAATGGCCAATCTCCTGTTCTAAGAGCTTCTCAGCACAGCATTAGCTAAATCACCATCTAGTGGCAAAGAGAATTATTGCGGGTATATAAACAAATTCATCAACATGAATGATTTGACTTGTCTTGTTAGGGATGTTTCCTAAGATTGTAATGTGGCAAAAATGGAGAAACATTTTATTTCATTAGATTTTATTTCAGGTAAGCCATGGTAAATGATTAATCCATAATATGGTATAAAAGACACAAGTAATATTAAAAGACATGAAGACAGAATAATGTGGGATTTGGTCTAAAATTGGAGAGTATATTTATACAAGAGGTTAACTACTTGCTAAGGATGCTGCTGAAAGAACTTATGAATTGATTAGGGAAGCCCAGTGTCTGGCTTCTAAGAATCATTTCTTAATTCCCCACATAGTAGAATTTACATTTGAAAGCAATATTAGATGCCATTCAATCTAGTCACCTATCTGGTGTTTAAATTTCCTTCTGATATTCCAAAAACAGCTCAGTTTTGGACTTTAGCCATCATGGTAAAGTTTACGCTGCTTAGGTTTACGCTGCTTTTTCTTCCTTGTTCTATACTGTAAAAACTTCAAACATTACAGAAATACTAACTTGGAAAAAAATGAATTTTTCCAAATTTCACCCCCTTAGATATAACCATTGTTAACAGTTTAATATGTGGTTTTTCAGGTTTTCAGGAACCAAAGGTTGTGCACGTTTTAAGTTGTAATCGGTCTTGTCAAATTACTTACCAAAATATACACTCTTATTTCAACCTATTTCCCCAAAGCTTCACCCATGCTGGGTTTTATCAGACTTTTAGATCTTTACCAAGTCTGAAGGGGAAGAAGATGAGATCTAGTTGTAAACTAAATTTCCATTTCTCCATGTATGAGTTTGGGTACTTTCCCAGTTACTGACGGGCCAGTGTAATGTTGCAGTTTCCAGCGTTGTAGTCTTCAAACATTTTTGTTCGAATACTTCCTACCATTTAAAAAAAGTATTTATTTGAGAGAGAGAGAGAGAGAGAGCATTAGTCAGGGACAGAGACAGAGGGAGAGGGGGAAGCAGACTCCCCATGAGCAGGGAGACCAATGCGGGGCTCGATTCCAGGACCCTGAGACTGTGACCTGAGCTGAAGACAGATGCTTAATGGACTGAACCGCCAGGGCACCTCATTCCCTACCTTTTTTTTAAATAACTGTGATCTTTTTCTATATTTTAAATTTGAAATCTAATATTCTTCATCATATGTTTAAATAGTTGCAGAATATTTCTGGAATATTATATTGCATGTGATTTAAATATATTTCTGTTAAATCTTTGGATCTGCATGTTTATCTTATTTAATTTATGGAAAAATGCTGAATTTGTTACCTGTTTTACAAAAGTAGTTCTCATTGTTAAAACCAGACTGACCTTGTCAGGAGAAGTCTGACTTTATTCTTTAATTCAAACAAACATGTTAATATGCTTCTGTGATTTGCTTCAAATTATAATTCAAAGATAGATAGAAATAAGGAAGGAGAGGAAGGAGAGGGAAGGCAAGAAGGCAGTGAGAAAGTTGGGGGGGGAAGAAAGGAAGAAGTTAGTTCAAGAACAGAGTTTTGTTAAGAGTTTGGCACGCCCTTAAAGAACTTCTTACCTAAACTCTGTTTTGCCGTGGGAGAAGAGAGCCGCAGTCTTGAGTTGTCGTTTTGCTTAGCATCTAGAGATTTTAACAGCCCAGGACGGTGCACTCAGATGAGGTAGGTGCCGACTTTTGTTGTGGGAGAAAGGGGCTGTGAAAGGAGCAGAAGAAGTGGCCGTAACATGGGTTCCCATATTCCCTACCTCGGTGGGGATCGAATGTATTAACACAGGAACATCACGTGACACCCAACTGTTCAATGAATGTTCACTGTTATGGCTATTGCTATTGATTTTTAAGCTGTCTGCCTGTGTTCTTTACCACTTTTTCAACTGCATTATTCATCTTTTTCTTCTTTTTCTATGTCTCATTGTATATTAGGGATATTAGCTGTTTTCATAAGAATTACAAATATTTTCTAGATTGTTCATGTTTTGAATATTTAAAAACTTTTAATTCCAGTATCATAAACATACGGTGCTATATTAGTTTCCGGTGTGCAATAGAGTGATTCAATGACTCTACCCGTTACTCAGTGCTCCTCATGATAAGGGTACTCATAAGCCCCTTCACCTATTTCCCCCACCCCCCACCACCCCCCCTCTAGTAACCACCAGTTTGTTCTCTATAGTTAAGAGTCTGTTTCTTGGCTTGCCTCTCTCTTCCCCTTTGCTTATTTGTCTTGTTTCTTGAATTCCACCTATAGGATTCATATGGCATTTGTCTTTCACTGACTTACTTCATTTGGCATTATACTCGCTAGCTCTATCCATTCATTGCAAATGGCGAGATTTCAGTCTTTTTAAGGCCAAATAATATTCCTGTGTGTGTGTGTACCACAGCTTCTTTATCTATTCCTCAGGCAAGGGATAATTGGATTGTTTCCATACCTTGGCTATTGTAAATAGTGCTGCTATAAAAAGAGGGGTGTATGTACCTCTTGGAATTAGTGTTTTTGTATTATTTGGGTAAATACCCAGTAGTGCAATTGCTGGATCCTAGGAAAGTTCTATTTGTAGCTTTTTGAGGACCTTCCATACTGTTTTCCACGGGCTGCACCCGTTTGCATTGCCTCCGACAGTGCACAAGTGTTCTTTTTTCTCCGCGGTCTCGCCAATCCTTGTTTCCCGGGTTGTTGATTTTTAGCCATTCTGACCTCTGTGAGGTGATGTCTCATTGTAGTTTCGATTTGCATCTCCCTGATGATGAGTGATGGTGAGGATCCTTTCATGTGTCTGGCCATCTGGATGCTTTCTTTGGAGAAGTATCTGTACATGTTTTCTGCTCATTTTTAAATTGGATTATTTGGATTCAGGGTGTTGAGTTTTTTAAGATCTTTGTGTAATCTTGGATGCTAACCCTTTAATGAATATGTCATTGGCATATATCTTTCCCCGTTCCTCAGGCTGCCCTTTAGTTTTGTTGATTGTCTCCTTTGCTGTGCAGAGGCTTTTATTTTGATGTAGTCCTATAGTTTGTTTTTGCTTTTGTTTTCCTTGACTTAGGAGATCTATCTAGAAAAAACTTGCTACACCTGATGTCAGAGAAATTAATGCCTGTACTTTTTTCTAGGATTTTTATGGTTTCAAGGTCTCCAGTTAGTTCTTTAATCCATTTTGAATTTATTTTTCTGTCTGGCGTAAGAAAGTGGTCCGGTTTCATTCTTTTGCATGTTGCTGTCCAGTTTTCCCAACACCGTTTGTTGAAGAGACTGTTTTTTTCCCATTGGCTATTCTTTCCTGCTTTGCCAAAGAGAAATTGTCCATAAAATTGTGGGTTTATTTCTGGATTTACTATTCTGTTCCATTGACCTATGTGTCTGTTTTTGTGCCAGTACCATACTGTTTTGATAACTACAGCTTTGTGATAGAGCTTGAAGTCTGGAATTGTGATGCCTCCAACTTAGCTTTTTTTTTTTTCTTTTTCCTTTTCAAGATTGCTGTACCTGTTTGGGGTCTTTTGTGGGTCCCTACAAATTTTGGGATTGTTTGTTCTAGTTCTGTGAAAAATGCTGTTGGTATTTTGATAGGAATTGCATTAAACATGTAGAATGCTTTGGGTAGTATAGATATTTTAACAATATTTGTTCTCCCAATCCATGAGCAGAGTATATCTCTCCGTTTCTTTGTATCATCTTCAATTTCTTTTATCAGTCAGGGTTCTGTAGTTTTCAGAGTACAGTTCTTTCACCTCTTTGGTTGGGTTTATTCTGAGGCATCATTATTTTTGGTGCAATTGTAAATGGGATCAATTCCTTGGTTTCTCTTTTTGCTGCTTCATTACTGGTGTATAGAAATGTAACAGGTTTCTGTATACTGATTTT